AACTCCTTCCCTCAGGAGAATCTTGGTTCTCCTCAGGAGAATCTTGGTTCTCCTCAGGAGAATCTTGGATCTCCTCAGGGATCTTGGATCTCCTCAGGAGGATCTTGGTTCTCCTCAGGGATCTTGGATCTCCTCAGGGATCTTGGTTCCCTGTGGAGCCCTCCTGCCTGAGTTCTGGTATGAAACTATTCCCATGACATGGGAATTTTCTGGCTGATTTTTGTTCCCCAGGGTTGCTGTGGCTGTGAGGGGAATTTTCTGGCTTCTTGGGTCACTTTCTGAGGTCTAAATGTTGGGTTTTTTGGGTTTTTTTGTTTTTTTTTCCCTAGAAATCCCAGATGAGGACAACAGCGTTGCTGCCATGTACCAGGCAGTTGGAGAACTCCCCCAGGCCAACAGGGACACCTTGGCTTTCCTCATGCTCCACCTGCAGAGGTACCTGGGGATGGACAGGAGGGTTGGATCTTTGAGGTCTCTCCTCATCCAAACCCCTCTGTGATTCCCAAATGATTTTTATTTTCTCTTATGAGCATAAAATCTTCATTCTGGGCAAAAAAAACCTCATCCAGAGGCTGAATTCTGTGTGTGAAAATACTGCTTTAATAGGAGAGAGAATTAGAATTGTGGATATAATTTATTAGAATATTTATTTGTGTAGTGATTGTGATATAATTCCCTTTTCCCCCATATTGAGTCTTGGACACTCCCAGGGAAGGTTTGGGAAGGGAAGGTTTGGGAAGGGAAGGTTTGGGAAGGGAAGGTTTGGGAAGGGAAGGTTTGGGAAGGGAAGGTTTGGGAAGGGAAGGTTTGGGAAGGGAAGGATTGGGAAGGGAAGGGAAGGATTGGGAAGGGAAGGGAAGGTTTGGGAAGGTTTGAGAGGGTTTGAGAGGGTTTGGGAAGGTTTGGGAAGGGAAGGTTTGAGGTTGTGTCTGGAAAACCCCTCTCACTCTGGGGTGAGTTGTGGGAGGGGGGCTTGGACTGGAAAATGGGATTTTTGGGGGTCTCAACCCACCACAATGTGGGATGAGGGAGGTGTGTGATAACTGGAGAAGAGGAACCACATCCTTTCTTGTTTTCTTTGAAAATAGGGTGGCCCAGAGCCCTGACACCAAAATGGACATCTCCAACCTGGCCAAGGTGTTTGGCCCCACAATTGTGGCCCATGCGGTGCCTGACCCCGACCCCATGACCCTCCTGCAGGACACCAAGAGGCAGCCCAAGGTGGGGCAGCAGGAGGGACCACTTTGGGGGGATTTAACCCCAAAAAAGAACTCAAATTGCCAGAGGGAGCTTCCCTTCCCTTCCCAAACCTTCCCTTCCCAAACCTTCCCTTCCCAAACCTTCCCTTCCCTTCCCTTCCCTTCCCTTCCCTTCCCTTCCCTTCCCTTCCCTTCCC